TGAGGTAATAGACAAAGGATTAATCTCCAAAATATATAAACAGCACATGGAGCTCAATATAAAAAAAAAAACCTGATCAAAAAAACGGGCAGAAGAGTTAAATAGACATCTCTCCAAAGAAGACATACAGATGACCAAGAGGCACATGAAAAGATGCTCATCACTCATTACTAGAGAAATGCAAAGAAATACTACAATGAAGTATCATCTTACATCAGTCAGGAAGGCCATCATCAAAAAGTCTACAAGCAATAAATGCTGGAGAGGGTGTGGAGAAAAGGGAACCCTCCTACACTGTCGGTGGGAATGTAAACTGGTACAGCCATCGTAGAGAACAGTATGGAGATTCCTTAAAAAACTAAACAAAGAACTACCATATGACCCAGCAATTCCACTGCTGGGCATGTGAAACTATTAGCCACTTCGTCGGGTCTGACTTTGCAGCCCCATGGACTATAGTCCACTAAGCTCCTCTGTCCACAGAATTCTCCAGGCAAGAATACTGGAGGGGGTAGCCATTTCCTTCTCCCGAGGATCTTCCCAAGCCATGGATTGAACCTGGATCTCATGCACTGCAGGCAGACTTTAGCATCTCAGCCACCAGGGAAGCCCTACTGCTGGGCATATACCCTGAGAAAACATTAACTCAGAGAGATACATGTACCCCAGTGGTCATCACAGCACTCTTTACAAGAGCCAGGTCATGCATGAATGAATAAAGATGTGGTACATATATGCAATGGAATATTTCTCGGCCATAAAAAGGAATGAAGTTGAGTCAGTTGTAGTGATGTGGATAAATTAGAGCCTCATCATAGAGAGTGTAGTAAGTCAGAAAGAGAAAAACCAGCATCACTAATGCACATATATGGAATCTAGAAAAATGGCAGTGATGAACCTACTTTCAGGGCAAGAACAGAGACGCAGATGAAGAGAATGGACTTATGAGCGAAGCAGGGGAAGAAGAGGAGGGGCAGACTGAGTGAGCAGCACTTACGTATGACACGTGCACACGACCACGTGTGAGACAGACGGCCAGAGGGAAGCTGCCGTGCAGCACAGGGAGCTCAGCCGGGCTCTGTGACACCCAGCGCGACGAGGGTGGGGTGAGAGGGAGGCTCAGGAGGGAGGCAGGGGGTGTGTGTGCACTCGTGGCTGAGCCACACTGCTGTACGGCGGGAACCAGCACGCCACTGTAAAACAATTATCCCCCAGGGAAAACTAAGTGAAAAAAACAAGTCGATGGGAATGTGATGACATCTATGGTGGCGAGGAGGGGGACGAATGACCGTACACTATTAGCCTCGGTTAACAAACACAGAAAGGGAAGAAAGGAAGGTGAGGGAAGTGAAACAGAACCGAATTGATGCCGGGCACAGAGTAATGTGTCTATCATGCCTGTGAAGTAGCTATTTCTCTGACCATGTTATAAATGAAGAATCAAAAGCACAAAAAGAGGGAGTCCTCTGGCACTCCAGTGGCTAGGACTCGGCACTTTTACTTCTGAGGGCCCAGGTTCAATACCTAGTTGGGGAACAAAGATCCCACAAGCCACACAGTGTGGCCAGGAAAAAGCTATATGCTAAAAGTACAAAAAGATTATGAGGCAGGTAAGGTCGGGGATTAAGTGATAGCTGAGCCTCTACTGTTTATACAATATCATACACTGCTTCCCTTCATTTATTCTTGTCTCACTAGGATTTAGTCCAATAAAAGCTATATTTTGTATTATAATAATAACTAATTTTAAGTAAGGGAAATTAAAGGGGAAAAGATAAATAGAAGGGATACTGAATGTCTGGGACAGAAACTCTACAGAGTTAATTAAAAAGCTTGAGGGGAAAAAAGATCTCCTTTAAAAACACAAAGCAGGAAGAAGTGTACCTTATTTTGGTAACCATGTTGCTATAGTAACAACATGATGATACACAGAAGAGCTTTCAAAGTTACACTGGTAATAAAAGATACACATGAATACATAGGTCTATTAATGTTGTTGAATAAATAGCAGTCTCTATAACCTTGCCAGAGCTAGTAATGAGAAACCCATGTAAACATTATTTATACCAATAGTAAAAAAGAGTTGTCAAATTCTAGTATTTACTATGTGTATGTGTCCACAGAGAACAAAGAAGAATGGAAAAGAGTGCTCCATACCTAAGTACTTTAGTCTGGAACACAATCTAGTGCTGGTAGAGGAGAAAAATGAAAAGATAATAAAAAGATTAGCTGGTCTTAGAACTATATGGTATGAATAAAACTTGTTCAGGTTTCTCAATGTTTAAGAAATCCATAATACAAATATCAGTATAATAAATTCATACCCATTCATCGAGACTAAGAGAGACGTGATACAGACATCCAGGTTTAAATTACTTGCTAATAACACTGTGTCTATTGGAGTCACTTTTCAGTGATCTGAAAAGAACCAATGCTCTTCCAAATGGTACTCAACCCTTTCTTTCCAGAGCTCCCCACGCTCACATGCCCAAATACAGTCTCATCAGTAACAGCTTTTGTTTCACTGCAGAGATTCCCACTTGGCCCCAAAAGGTAAATCAGAATCCTAGGAGAGAAATGAACGTTTGAGAAGGCCCCTAGGTATTTGAAATAATTGTCTAGGTGCTGTCGCTCAGTCATGTCCAACTCTCTGTCTAAGAAGTATGCGCAATGAGAGCTATAGTTCTCCATCAGTTCTTTGTTCTATAAAATCATGATTACTCAAAATCCATTGTCCCAAACATTTTTAACATGTATGCATCTTATATTATTTCCATAAAAAACAGAGAATATGGTACAAGTAGAAAAAGCTGAGCCTAGATATCTTAAAGACATGATCTTAAAAAAAAAAAAATGGAGCCCTGGATAAGTTTCTTGAGATACTAACTTTTTGCTTCTTCAGGAATTAAAGTAAGCATGAATGTGTGATTTTCTGGAGGGAAATGTAATGCAGAGAGGGAGGCCCTGCTAGTGTCTTCTTTCTGACAACTTCTGCGGCTGTTCAGTCACTAAGTCGTGGCCGACTCTTTGCGAGCCCGTGGGCTGTAGACCACCAAATTATCTCTGTCCATGGGTTTTCCCAGGCAAGAATACTGGAGTAGGTTGCCATGTCCTTCTCCAGGGGAGCTTTCTGACTCAGGGATCAAACCTGGGTCTCCTGCGTCTCCTGCTTGGCAGAAGGGTTCTTTACCGCTGAGCCCCCTGGGAAGCCCCTTTCTTACAACAGAACCTATTATTTCAGAAAGCAACAAGCCAACTTCCTGAAGGAGGTTCCCTAGACTACCCTGCAGCTGTGGGAAAGCTTCTGACTTTCTATCACAGGCACTTCCCCTGACAGCTTCTCTCTTCATATTTCTGCCTAGAAGTATACTTTTGGCAGTGCAAAAGCCATCTTGAGATCATGAGGAGATGAGTGTGAGACTGAAGGCCTACTCAATGAGAAAGATGTAATGAGAGATGGAAAAGGCTAGATCCCTGGTGACATTATGAGTTGCCTACACCCCTTCTTAATTCAAGAAACAAATAAATCTTTGTTCATGTAAGCCATTTGCTGCAGAAGGTGTTGCTAACTGACATAACTTGTCTATGAGGGAGACAGTTTTGGCAGAGGAAGATGATGACTCACAAAATCTGCCATGTTTGCCCTATTATCCTCTACTCCAGCCAAGTACATCTATTCCTCCAATTGTCTTCATTTATAAACTCAGAGTCTCTACACTCTATTAATTTGATCCCAAACTGTGGGCTCTGAACCCTTGGCACCTACCTTTCCTTGAGCTGACTAGTCTAGACTTGACTTCTACAGCTCACCTCATTTGTGAGAATGGCCAACTATCAACAGAACTCCTAAGTCTAATTCCTCATAGACAGGCCTATCCTTTTTGTTGCTCAAATTTCCATGGACCATCTCAATTTGGCATAAGCAAGAGAAATTGAAAAGGAATTATTTAGCAGGCATGTAGTGATGCATATACCTAACTACTGACTTTTGTGAGCTAGCTATTAACATTGTGAAATTTTAAGTCACTACTTTAAAAAAAAATGTTCTTACTCAGAATAATATTTAATTTGACTAAAAAATCAGCCCAAGGTCACAACCAAGATGGAGTAGCTCTTCTACAACCAAGTCCATCTCTTAACTAAAAAACCCTGGTCATCACGTAACACAAGCACAGCACAACCATGAAAGGTGGAACGAAGATGGCAGATGGCCTACTGACTTCAAGATTTGAGAAACACCCAGGCAATGAGATTCCTGAGTTTTATTATTATCTCCCATATATCCCAGATGAGTGTTACAGAAATTTCCAACCCAGAACCACCAACAGCCAGAGACCCAAAAAAAAGGGGGGGGGGGGGGAAAAAAAATCTAATCAACTTAGCTGATCAGGAAAAGTGTGCCTAAACACTTGAAAACAATCTTGGTAATATTCACCTTCTCAAGCCAAATACCAACTGTAAAACTGTACCTCCCCAGCTCACAGTTTCAAGACAGACACAACGGAGCAGAGCTGATATTCCACACCGCCACAGCCCTGCCCTGCTGATGCGAGGGGTGCACTCCAAGTCTCCTGGCTGGTGTAGTATCAGTGGGGTAAGCTAGGAGCTGACCTTTCATTCCCCTCTGTAGAAGCGAAACAGGCCCCAACACCTCCCCCCAGGGTAGTGTCAGTGGGGTCAATAATGAGCTGAGCCTCCACCCGCACCCTGCACCAAGGGACCCGAACAAAGCGGTACAAGTTGTTAGTAGTAAAGAGTCCATTTTGAGCTTCCCAGGTGGCACAGTGGTAAAGAATTTGCCTGCAAACGCAAGAGATGCAGGAGATGCTAACTCCTGGGTCAGGAATATCCCCTGGAGTAGGCAATGGCAACCCGCTCCAGTATTCTTGCCTGGAAAATTCCAATGATAGAGGAGCCTGTCGGGCTCTAGTTTATGAGGTCATAAAGAGTTGACGCAATTGAATGACTGAGCACACAGTCCACTTTTCGTATATTCTTGGTGTCAGTGAGGCCCAGTGGGGAGTCAAACCCAATTGGCAGCAAAGAGACCAAAGGAAGCAGTGAAAAACAAGACTAGTGGCACTCTTATTTTCCCTACACATATCCTGTGTCAGGGGGTTTCGGTTAGAAGTTTCTAACCCCACCCAGCATCAGTGAGGAAGAAGGTGATGTGAGACGAGCAGTCACTTTGCTTCCCATCCTCTGGTGCCAGTGGGATGTGTAGGGAGCTCAGCCTCTACTCCCAGATGGCATCAGTAAGACAGACTCAGGGCCGGCTGGCACCTAACTTCTCCCATCCTTTGGTATCAGTGGGGCACAGAAAGAAGTCAAACTTCTGTCCCTACCCTGCTATAAAAAAGTGTGAGACAGCTCTTTCGTTCTCCCCTCTGGTGACAGCGAGTTCAGTGGGGAACTGATCTTATATTCCCATACAGAGACACAAGAACCTGCAAGTTGGTGACTCACTTTTTCCAGAAAGGTGAGTGGGGCCAAGCGTGATATGTTAACTTCAACTTCACCAGTCTGACAAGGCAGGGGGAACCTTACTTTTGCAAAGTAGTATTTATGGACACAGCAGGAAGCTGAACAAACACACCCATTTGGCTTTCATGCTTTACCACAAAAAGGGGAGTGTGTGTTTAAAATACACACACACACACACACACACACACACACACATATATATATATAGAATAAGATCCAGAGTCTCATAGTATAACTTACAAAATAATTAGGATTCAAAAGAAAATCACTCATCATGCCAGAACCAAGAAAATCATAACATTAATCAGTAAGATAATCAACAAACCCAGCACTGAGATGAATCAGATGTTGGAATTATTTGATAAGGATTATAAAGCAGCCATCATAAAAATTCTTTTAAAAGCAATTAAAAATTTTCTTGAAACAAAAGAAAGAAATAGAAAATCTCAGCAAAGAAATAGAAGTTAAAAAAACTAAATAGAAACGATAGAACTGAAAGATAAAATAAGTGAAAGAAAAAAAGAAACAAACCTCATAGGACAGGCTCAACAGCAGAGTATAATGACAGAAAATAAAATCAAGAGAATGTTAGGACAGATCAACAGAACTCACCCAATCTGGACAAGAATGAAAATAGAAAAAATAATTAACAGAGCCTCAGAACTGTGCGACAAAACAACAACAACAAAAAGCTAACATTCATATGATTAAAGTCAGAGAAGGAGAGAAGAGAGAGGAAGTATAATTAAATAATATTCAAGAATGGTTGTACAGACTCAACAAGCTGTAGGAAAGATTCTTTTCTATTCAAATAGAATAAACCCAAAGAAATCCATGTTAATACCATCATAATTAAACCACAGACTATGATCAGTTATGTGTATATACTGCAATAACTAGAGCAACCTCTAAGAAACCTATACAAAGCAATATATTTAAAACACTATAAGCAAGTCAAGATATAATCCTAAAAAATGTTCAGCAAACCAATCTGAAAGTAAAAAGAGAAACAGAAGTAAGAGAACCAGAGGAAATAAACTGGACACAAATAAAATGGCATACATAAACCCTAACATACAAAAAATTACCTAAATATAAATATAAATACACCAATTAAAAGAGATAGGCAGAGTGGATTAAAAAAGAAACATTCTTCAAAAATATGTTGTCCATAAGACTGACTTCAAATTCAATGACATAAGTAGATTGAGAGTAAAATAATGGAAAAAGTATACCATATAATAAACAGTTTTTAAAAGCAGCAGTTGCTATATTAATATCAGATAAAGTAGACTTCAGAGCAAAGAAAATTACTAGAGACAAAGAATACTACATAATGATACAACAATCAATCCAGGAAAACAAAAATTTTAGATATGTTCATACCAAACAAAAGAGCTACAAAATACATGAAGCAAAAATTATAAAACTCAAAGAGAAACAGACAAACCCACAATCAGAGTTGGGAATTTCCAGTATTCTATTCTTAGCAACTGATAGACTCATTAGACAGAAAATCAGCAAGGAAATGAAAGAACTGAAAACCATCAATCACTAGGTTTTAATGGCCACTTTTAGAAAACTCCCCCCAACAATAACATTATATACACTTTTTCCCCAAGTACCCATGGAACAGTCATCAAGGCAGATGCATATCTTTCGCAATAAAACAATTTTAACAAAATTTTAAAAGTTGAAATCATACAGAGTATGTTCTCTGACCGTAACGGAATCAAACTAGAAATCATTAATAGAAATCTGACAAGAAAATCTATAAACACTTGGAAACTAAATAGCATACTTCTAAATAATCCATGATGGACAGGGAGGCCTGGTGTGCTGTGATTCATGGGGTCGCAAAGAGTCGGATACGACTGAGCGACTGAACTGAACTGAAATAATCCACATGTCAAAGAAAAACTCTCAAAGGATAATTTTAAGAATTATACAAAAACACACAGAACTGAATGAAAATGAAAATACAACATATCAGAGTGTGTGCAGCACAACTGAAGCAGTGAAGAGAGTAAATCTCTAAGTGACACTCTCTAACATCCAAAGAAAAACCTGATTGAGCTTCTGTCAGGGGGAGGGAAAAAGAAAATATTTTAAATATGCCTGGGCTTTTTATTACGTTCAACACGGCCTTCCCTCAGGAGAAACTATTTTAGCAGATCTTGACCTGCTGGGATATTATCTGAGCCTAACTGACCTGACAAAGGGAAAAACCCAGCTCAGCTCATTCTAGAAATACTGTTTCACCTAAGGGCAGGGGTGGGGGGTGCAAGACACGGCAACTGAGAAATATCTGTAAAGGTCACAGTCCACAGGCAAAGGCTCACTGCAAGACTGAGACATAATCACAGGACTGCAGACCACTTCTCCTCCCTTACATTACCACCACATTACTAAAGGCCTCTATTGCAATTCCTTTTATACCTTTATGTCTTGTCGACCTATCAAGAAAAACTTACAGCGTATGCTAAAAGGCAAAAAAAGGAGTCTGAAGAGACTGAACAAGCATCAAAAGTAGAGTGAGATACGGCAGGAATGTTAGAATTATCAGATCAGAAATGGTTTAAAATTATGATTAATATGAAAGGGGATGTAATACAAAAAGGAGACAACATATAAAGAACAGATGGATAATATAAGCAGAGACATTGAATTTTGAAGAAAGAATTAAAAAGAAATTAGAGATTTAAAAAAAAACACTGTTTAACAGAAATGAAGAATGTCTTTGACTGGCTCATTAGAATAGACGTTACTGAGGAAAGAATCTCTGTGCCGGAGGATATGACAATATAATTGAAAAGCTTCTAAAACTGAAAAGCAAGGAAAAAATTAAAAACATAATAGAATATCCAAGAACTCTGGGACAACTATAAAAGATATAACATTTGCCTAATAGGAATACCAGAAGTAGAAGATACAGAGAAAGGAAAAGAAGAAATATTTGAAACAATGATTGATAATTTCCTCTAAATTATAATAATATCAGACACCAACCACAGATCCAGGAACTTCAGAGAATACCAAGCAGGATAGATGCCAACTAAGGCTTAGCATGGGGCTTTCCTGGTGCCTCAGTGGTAAAGAATCCACCTGCAATGCAAGGAATCACAGGAGACAGGAGACGCAGGTTCGAGTTCTGGGTCAGGAAGGTCCCCTGGAGGAGGGCATGGCACCCAGTCCAGTATCCTTGCCTGGAGAATCCCATGGACAGAGGAGCCTGGCAGGCTGCAGTCCATGGGGTCACAAAGGGTTCGACATGATTGGAGCAACTGAGCACACATGCACACATATATTTATACATACATACATATTTATGTATACTTATTTATAAGTAAAATAAATGGCAGCAATGATACAAAGGATGGGAGGGGAAAATTAGGAATATTTAGCAATTATAAGGCACTTGCACTACCAATGAAGCAGTGGAGTGTTTATTTAAAAGTTGACTTGGAAAAAAAAAAAAAGTTGACTTGGATTAGTTATAAAAATAAATCACAAATTCTGTGTGTTAGTCACTAGTCATGTCTGACTCTTCGGGACCCCATGGACTGCAGCCTGCCAGGCTCCTCCATTCATGAAATTTTCCAGTCAAGAATACTGGAGTGGGTTGCCATTTCCTTCTCCAGGGGATCTTCCTGACCCAGGGATTGAACCTGAGTCTCCCGCATTGCAGGCAGACTCTTCACCATCTGAGCCACCAGGGAAGCCTCTAAAGCAACACCATAAAAAGTGAGAAGAAGTATAACTGATATTCTGAAAAAGATAAAATGGAACTATATTAAATGCCTGATTAAATCCACAAAAGACAGAAAAAAAGTGTGGAAGACAGAAATAAGAAGAAAAAGGGCAGCAAATAGAAAACAATAACCAAACAATGATAGATATTAATCCAACTATATCAGTCATTACTTCGATTATCAATGATTTAAATACACCAATTTAAAGACAGACTGTCAGAGTAGGTCAACTATCACATTGTCTTCAAGAAACACATTTTAAATATAAAGACACACACTGACTAAAAATAAAGGGGTATAAAAAGATACATCATGCTAACACTAAACAGAAGAAAATGAGAGTATCTACATTAATTTCAGACAGAGAAGTCTCCAAAACAAGGAACACTATCAGAAATAAAGAGGGGTATTGTATAATTATAAAGGGGTCAGTGTTCTAAGAAGAGATAACAATCCTTAACAAAAGAGCCTAACAACAGCATCAAAATGTTGGACTGACACAAAAGCCCCTTCAGAACCCCCATAAGATGCGTGGAGAGAGGCGAACAAGCTTTATGGCCAACTCTATGCGGATGGACTTGGAGGATAAGTCAGACAGAGAAAACACCAATAACATACCACTTATGTGTGAAACTGAAACATAAAACAAGCTAATGAATATAACAAGATGAAAACAGAATCACAGAGAACACACTAGTTGTTACCAGCAGGGAGAGAAAAGGAGACCAAACAAAGGTGGGGGATGCAGAGACATAAACTGATATGCATAAAATAAATTAAAAGGACATACTGTACAACATGGAATACAGCCAATATTTTATAATAACTGTAAGTGGAGTTGTAGCCTCTAAAAAGTATAAATCACTATGCTGTACAACTGTAACATATAATCTTATACATCAACTATACCTCAACAGAAAAAGAAAAAAAGTATAAAAAATTTTTAAAAGGGATACTATGAATAACTCTATGCCCACAAATTTGATCACCAAGATAAAATAAATCAATTCCCTGAAGAAATGCTAAAACTCACATAAGAACAGACAATCTAAACATAGCTTAACCATAAAAAAAATTTCAAAAAACTTTCATCAATAATTAATAAACTTCCAAAACAGGAAGCACCAGGCCCAGATGGAGTCACTGGTAAATTCTACCAAAATTTAAGGAAAAAATTGTATCAATTCTCTCTAGAGGGTAAAGCATCTGCCTGCAATGCGGGAGACCCGGGTTCAATCTCTGGGTCTGGAAGATCCCCTGGAGAAGGAAATGGCAACCCACTCCAGTATTCTTGCCTGGAGAATCCCATGGACGGAGGAGCCTGGTGGGCTACAGTCCACGGGGTCGCAAAGAATTGGACATGACTGAGTGACTTCACTTTCTTTTCTTTCACTTTCTTCCAAAAGATTGAAAATATTGCACAACTCATTTAATAAGGCCAGCATTACCCTAATACTAAACCATACAAAGGAATTACAAGAAAACTATAGATAAATATCTCTCATGAACATGGAAGTAAAAGTCCTCAACAAAATATTAAAATATGTAAAATCAATTATATACCACAACCAAATGGAATTTATTCCAGGTATCAAAGCTGGTTCAACAGTCAAAAACCAATTAGTCTATCACATTAACAGGCTAAAGAAAAATCACACAAGCATTTCTACAGGTGCAGAAAAAACATTTGACAAAATCCAACATCCACTCAAGATAAAACTCTCAGCAAACTAGGATAAAGAAAAAATTCCTCACTTTTATTAAAAAAAAAAATTTAGGGAGTTCCCTGAAGGTTCAGTGGTTAGGACTCTGTGCTTCCACTGTAGGGGGCAGAGGGTTGTTCCCTGGTCAGGGAACTAAGATCCCAAATGCTGCGCAGCACACACCAAAAAAAAAAAAAAAAAAGAAAAATTACAAAAAATCTACACTTCATGTCATATTTAACAGTGAAAAACTTGAAGGCTTCCTGCTGAGAGCAAGAACAAGATGTCTCCTCTAACCACTGCTACTTAGCATTGTATATGAAGTCCCAACTTGTTCAGTAAGACAAGAAAATATAGGTATACAGATTAGGAAGGAAGAAATTCAACTTTGTTCACAGATGACATGATCACCTACACAAACAAACTGAAAAAATCAACAAAGAAACTCCTGGAACTAACAAGTACTTTTAGAAAGTACCAATACCATGAACACATGGAGTTAAAAATCATTACCATTTACATTAGTGCCTTCCAAAAATGTAGGTATGAAGTACAAACTGATGAAATATATATAAGAACTATATGAGGAAGACTATAAAACTCATATGCACAAAAACAAAGAAGAACTAAATAAAAGAGCTATTCCATGTCTGTGGATTATTAAGATTCAACATTGTCAAGACATCAATTCTCAACTTGATCTACAGATTTAATTCAATTTCAAGCAAAATCCCAATAAGTTATTTTGTGGATATGGACAAATTCTGAAATTTACATAGAGAGGAAAAAGATCTCAAATAGACAACTCAATATTGAAGGAAAAGAGCAAAGTTGAAAGACTGACAAAATCTGCCTTTAAGACTTAGTATAAAGCTATACAATATTAAAGATAGTGTGGGTTTGGTGGAAGAATAGACAAATAGATTAATGGAACAGAATAGAGTCCAGAAATGGAACCAAATAAATATATGGTCAACTGATCTTTGACAAAGGAGCAAAGGCAATGTAATGGAGCAAAGATTTTTTTTTTAAACTGGAAACTAGACAACATCCTCATGCCCCCTCCTCCATCCTCAGAAAAAGGATTCTAGACACAGGTCATACACACTTCACAAACATCAACTCAAATGAATTACAGACCTAATATAACATACAAACTGCAAAACTCCTATAAGGTAACATAGAAGAAAACCTAGATGACCTTGGGTACAGTAGTGACTTTTTAAATATAACACCAAATGCAAGATTCATGAAATAAACAATAAGCAGGACTTCATTAAATTTTAAAACTTTTGGTCTACAAAAGAGAGTATCAAGTAGTGGAAGATGAGCCACATACTGGGAGAAAATATTTGCAAAAGACATCTGATAAAGAACTATTATCTAAAATATACAAAGAACTCATAACACTCAACATTAAGAAAACAAGTAATCTGATTCAAAGTAGGCAAAAGACCTGAATGAACACCTCAGAAAAGGAGACATACCAATAGTAGACATAATAAAATATATTCAATCTCATATGTCTTCAAGGAAATGTAAATTAAAACACAAGATACTATTACATACCTATTAGAATGGTTAAAACCAACGACACCAAAGGTTGGTGAGGATTTGGTAACAGGAACTCTCATTGCTGCTGGGAATGCAGAATCAGAGAGCCACCCTGGAAGACAATTTGGTAGCTTCTCACAAAATTACACACACTTTTACTATATGATTCAGTAATCACACTCTTTGGTATTTACCCAAAGGAGCTGAAAATACATGTCCACACAGAAACCTATACATAGATATTTCCAGCAGCTTTATTTATAACTGCCAAAATTTGGAAACAACCTAGGTGTCCTTCAGTTTGGTGAATGGATAAACTGTGGTTCATCCAGAGAATGGAACATCATTCAGTCCTAAAAAAAGAAATAAGTTGTCAAGCCGTGAGAAGACATGGAGTAAATTTAAATGTATATTATTAACTGAAAGATGCTAATTTTTAGAAAGTTACACACTATATTACTCTAACCATAAGACATTCTCTTTCTTCTTCAGTCATGTCTGACTCTTTACAACCCCATGGACTATATAGCCCACCAGGATTCTCGTCCATGGGATTCTCCAGGCAAGACTGCTGGAGTGGGCTGCCATACTCTCCCCCAGAGGATCTTTCCAGCCCAGGGATCAAACTTGCATATTCTGCATTGGCAGGCAGGTTCTTTACCACTAGTGTCACCTGGGAAGCTCATTTTGTTCTGGGGTGTAGCCAATTAACAATGTGATAGTTTCAGGTGGACAGCAAAGGGACTCAGCTGCACATATACATATATTCATTCTCCCCCAAACACCCCTCCCATACGGACTGCCACATAACATTAAGCAGAGTTTCATATGCTATATAGTAGGTCTTTTGTTGTTATCCATTTTAAATGTAGCTGTGTGTACATGTCAATCATCCCAAACTTCCTAACTGTTCCTTCCCCACCCCCTTCTGCCCAGCAAAAAGTTCATTCTCTAAGTCTGTGAGTCTGTTTCTATTTTGTAGGTAAGTTCATTGGTATCATTTATTTTTAGATTCCACATATAAGAGATGTCATATAGTATTTCTCCTTCTCTGACTTATTTCACTCAGTATTACACTCTCCAGGTCCATCCATGTTGTTGTAAATGGCATTATCTCATTCTTTTTAAAGGTTGAGTAATACTCTGCTGTATGTATGTACCATATCTTCTTTATCCATTCTTCTGTCAATGAACATTTTCAACAATGTGGCATATTGAAAAAGGCAAAACTATGGAGACAGCAATGAAACAGTGATTGTCCATCCTGAGGAGGGGGGGGCGACAAACAGGCAGAACACAGGATCTCTAGGGCAGTACTACCTATTCTGTATGATACTACAATGGTAGATACATGGTATTAAACATTTGTCAAAACCCATGGAATGTACAACGTCAAAGGGGCTCTGCGACAATCTAGAAGGGTGGGATGGGGAGGGAGGTGGGAGGGAGATCCGGGAGGGGGACATGGATGTACCTATGACTGATTCTTGTTGATGTACGCCAGAAAAGCACAAAATTCTGTAAAGCAATTATCCTTCAACTTTAAAAATGAATAAAGTGGCAAAAAAAAGAGTTAACCCTAATGTAAAACCATGTATTTGGGGTGATAATGATGTACCAAGACAAGCTCATTACCTCTGTGACAGGGATGTATATAATGAGAGAAGTTACAGGTGTGCTGTTGTTTAGTTGCTAAGTCATTTTCAACTCTTTTGTGACCCTATGGACCGTAGTCCCCAGGTTCCTCTGTCCGTGGAATTCTCCGTGGCAGAATACTGGAGTGGGTAGCCGTTTCTTTTACTAGGGGCCCTTCCGACCCAGGGATCACACCTGCACGTCCTGCACGGCAGGCGGGTCCTTTACCGCTGAGCCGCCAGGGGAGCTCTTACAGGCGTGCAGGGACAAACATAAACAAATACTTTAAAAGAACGAAAAACATGAGATCATAAATATAACTAATAGATTAGAAGACTTACCAAAACAACAATACCACAAAAGTTCTAAATATATGTTGTTTTTCAACTTGCCTGAATCTAGGTTAGCAAAAGCCAGAACAAGTTTCTGTTATTTGCAACCAAACTAACTTGACACAGAACCCTTTCCAGAATTTGGCGTAAGATATTTTTTAAAACCTGATACCAACAAAAATACAATAAACAATAAGATAAACAACCATGAGAAAATATTAGCAATGTGTAAATAAAATATAAGTCCATATTATATTAAAAACTCCTATACATAAACAAAAATGTAGAAATAGCACCATAGAAATTTGGACAATATATATGAACAAGTAATTCATAAAAGAAGAAATATACATATCTAATAAACATATGAAAGAAAATTCAACCTCACTAGCAATAAAGAAACACAAATTAAATAATCATGAAGTAACAATTTTCTTTACCAAGAAAAAAAGTGAAAATTTGAGAAAACTTAGGAAGATTCCAATACTAATAAGATCTAAGAAAATGGCCACTTTATAAACTATTGGCCAAATATAAATTAACCCTGTCTTCTCAAAGGACACTTTGGTATAATGTCCATCAAAATCTTAAATTGGCATTTACTTTTTTTTCAGCAATTTCACTTCTAGGAATTTATCCTATGGAAAAACATATGTACACAAGAATATAAATATAAATACTATCTGTAGTCATAAATACTGGAAATAATCTAAATGTTGAAAAGAGAAATGGTTCAGTAAATTATGGCATATTCTTATTAAGGAAGACATTGTAGCAGTTAATAAAAAGATAGATCTATATGTATTAACATGGAGTTATTTCCAGAATATAAAATTAAGTGGTAAAAGTCACACATACTTTTAATATGTTACTTATATTAAAAACTAGTCTATTAAAAAGTAGTTTTAAAACTACATAGCTTAAATACATTACATATATTTAAAAATAATATCTTTAATAAAGCTTAAGGAAAAATGAAGGATCTAGAAACATACACCAAACCATTAAAAGTAGTATTTTTTATTTCCAGTGAAAGAAAGTAATCAGAAGAATAAAAAAGGCCTTTCTTGCATTTTCTTCTATATATTTCTTTTGTTTTGTATGCTTATGTATTAAGCATATAATTATTAAAGAAAGCAAACTTTAACAATAAACAAAAGAATCTGACAAGCAAAAACCCTCCGTATTTAAAATTTTAAACTAAATGCTTTAATTTTTCCACTCAAATATGATTACATACTTTTTCAGACCTGAAATTCAAGAAAACAAAACTTTCCTAGCAAAAGACTAAGAACTGATATTTAATATAATTATTTAAGTTTGTAATAAAATTTAAGACAAGTACTTAATCCTAAGAGATTTAAGAAAACTTTCACTTTACAAGGACACAATGTTCAATATATTCATTTGTTCACTGTTTACTACATCAACTGTTGATATTTTAAAGTGCAAAAATATTCATTAGAAGGAAAAGTCATGAAACAACAGCAAAAATCCCTTTGTATGAGTGTCTATATAAGCTCAATGAGGTGTCTTCAGGCACAATAAATTGCTGATTGGACTTGACCAGCATTAGGAACCCAATTTCTGATTTTACTCCAACTTTATTGATTTAGACTCATGCGCCAGTTTTAACATTTTGGCAACCTTTTCATAACATGAAAACCTTATTCTATAAATCTAAATAGTCAAGGACATCTAAAAAAAATTAGATATAAAAACTACCAAAATTCACCTAATTTTTTATAAATAAAACTTTCTAATGATAAAATTAAGCTATAAATCTGGAGAAAAGTAAAAATCAACCCATCTCAACTTATAGTTACTGAATTAATTGGTTTCTAGTTATTCAGATGGATAGAAGAAGCTGGCAGGCTATAGTCCACAGGGTCACAAGAGTTAGTCATGACTTAGTGATTAAACCACCAATTATTCAGATAGAAACATAAGCCTCAAAGGAATGTTCAGATTATATCTAGGAATTATACTTAGTAATCAGTAATAATTAATGAACAAATTCAAATGTGTCAAGGTATAAATCATACTTGATATAGAGAAATTCTAGAAAAACAAAAGTCAAATCCATTTTCTGTACTTTTCTTCCAAACTAAATAAATGATAGAAAAGAATAACATACTCTAACCTTTCTGTTTTGGATTCATTGTCAATTTTGTACCGTTCAAAATCTTGGCTAAGAGACTGTAGTTTTTCTTGAAGTCTCTTTTCACGTTCTATACTTCCTTGATAAAATTTCATCTCTTTTTCCATCGCTTTTACTTTTTCTTCCATAGCCTTAAACTCATGTAGAATTAGATAGCTGACTCCACAGTACTTACAAACTTTTTCTTCAGGAGACATCTATAAAATAGAACATACATTTACTGAAATGATACTTTTTTATTTCTAAAAAATAAAGTTCAACTGAAGATGTTATTGCAACCATCGTGGTCAAATGAAGTAAACGTATATTGTGCTCTGCCGTGGAGTAATAATTACAACACTTCATAAAATTTTTAAAAGTGGCATGATATTGACTCTGACAAAATCTTGGAATTAGAGTAGAATCTTTCAGAGTAATAATTTCTCCATAGTATCTCTAAGAAAGATTTATATCTTTATATATCTTGAAACATCTGCCATAAAATAAAACTTTTTGATGAAAATATCTTTACAATTCTTGCTTTAAGATGAGTTTTCCCTGGTGTGGGAAGAAATCACTGGCCTTTCACTGCCAACTGCACTGTGACCCTGGAGATGGCTCTTAGCTTACTCAGACTTCATTTTCCTCATTTATACAATTAGGCATGGGGCGAATGAGTTCTAGTTCCTGTTCTGTTTTAACATTTTATGATTTGCACAGAATTTAACATTCTGTCATAAAACCACAAATAGAAGAAACACTTTGAACTTAATCTCTTCTCCCTAGATCAGTTCTTTTCCCCCTCAGGTAGGTACAGTTATACCTATTTTACAGATAAGATCATAGGGACTACTGAAGTTAAATAACCAACTGATAAGTGGAGAAGCTGACATTAAACCCAAGTCTATTTTAAAACCAGCACTTATGCCTGTAATCATTTGTATCATATTTATCTACCATGTGAATGTCTGCTAAATTCTCTTACTTCCCTCAGATGAAATGCTTATATATCTTTGGCCAGATGAAGGGAGTGAAAAGTAGAATTTTAGTGAAGTCAAGAGAGACGTAATTCTTTTTTCTGTATTAAGTATACAAATATTCCTCAAGCAGCCTCTACCTGTCTTGCTTTTCATAAAGATAAGAGAGATTCATTAAATATTTGCTTCAGGGCACTAAAACGAAAGCAACTCTTGGACTATACAAAGAATGCTTACTCTTAATGCAACTTTGTTAAGACTATAGAAACTGTTCCTATAACTAAGAGTAATGCCACCATACATGCCTATCAATGCCATCTACCATATGCGCCTATCCATGCCATTATAAAAGAGTTACTTGAAACAAACTAATAATAACTTTTATAGTTATTTTCATTTAAACAATAAAAATTTCAAATTAAAAACTATGATATAATACCATGGGATACAGATGAATGACTACATCAGTAATCTAACTGCGACTGAGACCAAATTTATAGATTTTTGAAACAAGTTTGAAAGAAATCATAAAGATAACCTGGCTCAAGCATGGATGTATTCACTGAGACACATAAGATGTTATCCAGAGTCTATCTCAGCACTCAAAAATGACAGGAAACTACTTTGTAAAACAGCCTGTTTCTTCTTCTGATGGTTTTGTCTACAGGGAGTTCTTTCTCATGCTGATCCCAAATCTGCTTCCCTGGAGCATCCACCAGTCTGAGACCACCTAGCAACCATAAGGAATAACCAGATCTTTTTCTAATATTTAAAGACGGCTCTTAGGAGCACGACGTATCTTTTAATTCTTTAGGTCAACACTTCCAATTCCTTCAGTTATTTCGCATAATGACATGGTTTTGAATTTCTTTCTCAGTCTAGGTAATTTTCTCTAAATATGTTCCAGTGTTCTATCTATTTCAAAGTATGAGTCCAGAATTGAATACTACTGTTGGTCTCACTAAAGCAGAATAAGAGTGAACCCGTATTTCCCTCATTATAACATCTCTTTAATAATACCATTAGTAACATCATTTAATACAATCAGATCACAATGGTCTTCTGTATTTTTACCAATTATATGTTGCTATTATATACTATAACTGGCTTTTATGTTAAATAAAACCCCTACCCAAAAAACACACTGCATTGTAAAACCATGTCCCATTATGCTGAATATACCAAGCCATTCCTTCCCACTTATGTCCCCTTTTATAGAGAATCCACCTTCCATAGTCCTGGCTACTCTGGTAATATGACTAAAACCCCCTCCAACAATCCACCCTAGCATGGCTGAATGATGAATGAAGGTTGGACATCTGTCATAGAAGAACCAAGTCCTGAGCTGGGATGAGCCAGTTGAGACTATAAGTGTTAAAGACCAGGCAATTAGGACATCTTTAGCACAGCCAGAATATATAAGGATCACATGCAAGGTACAGAGTAAGCCACATTACTGGGATGAGACAGAAGAATGAGCAAACACACAGAGAGAAGATGAGAAAAAGACATTGCAGATCCAGTGTAAGAGAGAAAGAAAATGGAACCAGACACTGTCTCATACCCAGTGACCTTCCACTTCCTTACTTCAGTCCCTGCTTTTACCTTACTTACCTGACTTACCTTTTGGAATCCATACCCAATATTCTTCCACTATTCTCACTTTTCCCCCTAAAGCTACCTATTCCTTACAACAAATAACCCTCATTCTCTTTTGTGAGCATTTAGCTTTTCAGATGCAAGTGCAGAAAAACAAATATAATTGTAAGTATAAATAAATAAATAAAACTTTAATGTATATACATATACATATGTATGTATGTTTTAGACTCAAACTTTACTTAAGTGACTTTGTATCCAGAAAATTCTAAGCTTTGTATCTTCTGCAAAACTGATTCTGTTGTTTTATCCATCTAATTTATTGATAAAGAATGTTGAATATGAGTTCTACCCTCAATATAAAGTTAAGGGTAGGACTCTATAGCATGTCATATCTGCTTGGTTTGGTCTGGGGCTGGTTTAGTTGGTAAGTCATGTCCAAATCTTGCAATACCATGGACTGTAGCCCACGAGGCTCCTCTGACATGAGATTCTCCAGGCAAGAATATTGGAATGGGTTGCCATTTCCTTCTCATATCTGCTTGGTTAATACTAATCCATTACTCAGCACATTACAGATACAATGATTCAACTGATTACTAAACAACCCAATGACTTGTGTAACCTGTCTATATTTATTCATATGGCCTTTAGGAATATTAAGACAAACTTTGTCAAATGCCTTCATAAATTCCATATATTCTTTGTCAACTATAGTTCCTAAATTTAGTGACTCTGCACAAAATGGAATGGCAAAGCCTACATGCTGGTTCTGTTCAAGAACATAAAATTGGCTCAATGGTTATTGTCTTCTCTAACATATGCTCACAAATGCCCTTTAATATAGTCCAGAATCTTGTCTGGGAGTTCACTAGTAGTAATTTATGGTCATTCTATACATGGAATGGTATTTGTATGTTATCCTCTTATTCTCTACATGTTCTCAAAGATCACTAAGAGTGGCTCTGTAATCCTATTGAAATATACTATGAAAAACGACAGAAATGGTATGGACCTAAAGGAAGCAGAAGATATTAAGAAGAGGTGGCAAGAGTACACAGAAGAACTGTACAAAAAAGATCTTCATGACCAGATAATCATGATGATGTGATCACTCACCTAGAGCCAGACATCCTGGAATGTGAAGTCAAGTGGGCCTTAGAAAGCATCACTACAAACAAAGCTAGTGGAGGTGATGGAATTTCTGTTGAGCTATTTCAAATCCTGAAAGGTGATGCTGTGAAAGTGCTGCACTCAATATGCTAGCAAATTTGGAAAACTCAGCAGTGGCCACAGGACTGGAAAAAGTCAGTTTTCATTCCAATCCCTAATAAAGGCAATCCCAAAGAATGCTCAAACTACCACACAATTGCACCCATCTCACATGCTAGTAAAGTAATGCTCAAAATTCTCCAAGTTAGGCTTCAGCAATATGTGAACTGAGAACTTCCAGATGGTCAAGCTGGTTTTAGAAACGGCAGAGGAACCAGAGATCAAATTGCCAATATCCGCTGGATTATCGAAAAAGCAGGAGAGTTCCAGAAAAACATCTATTTCTGCTTTATTGACTACACAAAAGCCTTCGACTGTTTGGATCACAATAAACTGTGGAAAATTCTTCAAGAGATGGGAATACCAGACCACCTGACCTGCCTCTTGAGAAACCTGTATGCAGGTCAGGAAGCAACAGTTAGAAATGGATATGGAACAACAGACTGGTTCCAAATAGGAAAAGGAGTACATCAGGCTGTATATTGTCACCCTGCTTATTTAACTTATATGCAGAGTACATCATGAGAAACGCTGGGCTGGATGAAGCACAAGCTGGAATCAAGATTGCTGGGAGAAACATCAATAACCTCAGATATGCAGATGACACCACCCTTATGGCAGAAAGCGAAGAGGAACTAAAAAGCCTCTTTATGAAAGTGAAAGAGGAGAGTGAAAAAGTTGGCTTAAAGCTGAACATTCAGAAAACTAACATCATGGCATCTGGTCCCATCACTTCATGGGAAATAGATGGGGAAACAGTGGAAACAGTGTCAGACTTTACTTTTTGGGGCTCTGAAATCACTGCAGATGGTGACCGCAGCCATGAAATTAAAAGACGCTTACTCCTTGAAAGGAAAGACGATGGGCATGAGTTTGAGTAAACTCCAGGAGTTGGTGATGGACAGGGAGGCCTGGCGTGCTGCGATTCATGGGGTCGCAAAGAGTTAGACATGACGGAGCGACTGAACTGAACTGAACTGATCAGTCCCCAGGAATATAATTCATCCAGGTCAAGAGACCTGAACTAATGCAGAACATACGCATATTTTCTTACAGTCCCTTTGCCCATCATGAGTTTTGGTTTCTTCTCATCAATTTAAAAATTCTTACTCTAAAGAACTTTCATCCTTAGCCTATTAATCACAGTTCTTTCCCTGTTCCTGGGAAAATGCTGTGTCCTTATTTTAAAGAAAACTCTTGCTGGATAGAGCTTATTTGCAGCCTGATGTACAAAACACAAATCATATAAACTTCAAAATTGTGAAAATTATTAGAATGTTATTCCACCATAGCAAGCATGGTGGGAAAAGCTGAAATAAGTGAAATATACACGCTATAAAACAGGCCTCTAGATGTTCAGCATAGGAAGC